TGATGGTTTCGTTTGGTTTGAGCAGCTCGTAATAAACTACACCTAACTGATCCCACCAAATGCAGAGCAAGAAGCTTCGAACCATGGATATTATTGAGCTTTGCTGACAATGTTGATAAATGGCCGGGTTTACCCCATGATCTTCTATGCTGAGGGTTATCATAGTGTATCCACTTTTCATTGCCACAATACGATGCAAAAATCTTTTCCTTTTCTGCCATTGAAGCAATGGTTCATACGTGAAAACATGCCATTCAACATCTCTCGGCTTCAACTTGTACAGCATCCAATGTCCTTGCTTTTGAATCATTCCTAATACTTTCAAATGTTTCAAAACTGTTGTGTGATCAACTCCTAATGATTCTTCAAGTTCATCTAGCATCTGATATGAGTCTTCATGAAGTAATGCCTCCAATTCTTTGTCTTCAAACGTTTTTGGTGTGCCAGAGCGTTCTTTATCTTCAACATCAAAATCATTATTTATGAAGCATCTAAACCAATCTCAGTGTGTTGTTTCCAACAGAGCATGGTCACCATAAGTCTTAACAAGAATTCTGTGTTCTTCAGCTGCAGATTTTTTTTGAATAAAATAGTGCAATAAAATTCTCCTCAAATACTCTTTTTTTGGTACGAAACTCGACATGTTTAACACTATGAAAAAAAAAGTTGTTTACACTTTGGAAAATGACATATAATGAATTTCAAGCTTGCTTATGGTACTTCCTTACAGACGCACCACCATCTTAAACTACACGCATGCAGTTCTAGTAACACCGTCTGTTGGAAAATAGTGAGAACTTATTCAAGGTCCTAATAATAAACAGGACTTCATATTATCCAATACCAGATAAAGGAGGTACAGTCGACCCCCGTATAAGATCATTGATTATTCCGTTTTATATGAATTCCATGTTGTACGAGTCACTTTAATTTTACAAATATGTGTACTGGGCTGTGAACGGCTCACGTATTTGTAAAATTTAAGTGACTCGTACAACATGGAATTCATATAAAACGGAATAATCAATGATCTTATACGGGGGTCGACTGTATACTGTATGTTTTTTTTATTTAGATCTAAAAACATTATTATGAAAATTGAATACCTTCTACTTGATGAGGTTTCAGTTTAACAATAAGACTTGGATGTACTTGAATTATTTCTTCTTTGTTTTCTTCATCAACTTCTAGAACTAGCTTTTTAGTTACACGCTCTCCAGTCTCAGTAACTTCTATAACAGTGTGATTGTACTAAAAGATGACAATTTAATGTTAGATAACTTCAATTTATTCTCAATATATAACAATTAAACTTACTGCTTTTTGTCTTTCTAAAATACGCCTTTTTCGTTCTAGTTCAGCTTGGGCAGCAGCTTTAGTTTCTTCTCTCAACATTTTATCAGATATCAATTTTCTGATATTTTTTCTTCCTTTCCCAATGGGTGTATCTCCTTGATCTTGATTCTAAAAATGAGCATATTTAATAAAATTCATAAAACTTTTCTGCTAAACTAGAATTTTAACATAAAATATCATATATAATTTCTAATAAAAATTTGAAATACAGTAGAGCGTCGTTTATCCGAAGGTCGGTTATCCGAAACGTCCGTTATCCAAAGGATTTCCAGTCGACAAATTTAAATTTTCACCAGTGCTGTGGTGCTGTAATCTTTGGCTATGTCTTCGGCTACTCAAATATTTTACGTTTTTGATACTAAATTAACTTCTGAAGTATAATTTTTTATTGTTTTTATATTTTTCAATATATTTATTTTGTTTGTACAAAATAAAAAAATAATTTTTAACGATACAATAGTCTTCNACAATTGTTTGACATTGACGGCCGCGAATTCCGTGCCAATATGCTGCCTTGACTTGTTCGATTATGTTATTGATTCAATTTCATATGTATTTTCACATTTTCACTTCGCGGTCCTTCTCTGTTCTTTTTCCATTATTTACACGTGTAGGTCATTTCATTGTTATCCACATTTGATATCATCACTTATCACATACTTCCATGACACTCTTGTCTGTCTGCTACAACTGCCAAAAATGAACGCGATTGGCGAAGTGTAGTGACAGCGGGCCAATAGAGAGCAGAATCCTTGCCATAATGCAGTTTGTGCACCAATTTTCGTACGGGCATTAATCAAGCTGAATAGTTTGGCCGAATATTCGGCTATTCGGCCACGCTCCTGGCAGAATATTCGGTATTCAGCCTGAGACCAAATATACTATTTGTTACAACACTACTTATTATACAGCAAAACAGTCAATTACATAAAGTTTATCATGTAAAAAGAATGTGTATTTTGGGCTATTTTTCCATCGCCAGTCCTTATTATATCTATCTGATAAAACTAAAATAAATTATGGTAATTAACAACTATTTATTATCTTACACACACATAAAGCTCACTAAAAACTAATTACCTAAAATGATATATTTACTGAAAACAGCTGAAGTAACAAAAATTTACTTAAAAAATAAGAATAAAACAAGTAAAATTAAAATAAAATAAAAAATATAAATTAAATAATAAAATATCTTTAAATAATATTAAAATGTGATAAAATATATACCTGTAAACTTTAGTTAAAACCTACTAAAATTTGGTAAAAAAAAAAAAAATAAATCACTGAAAACTATCAATAGTAAAATAATAGATGTAATATTTGACTGTACATTTATTAGGAAGACTGACTGTTATATGGTACAGTGAATTAATAAAATTTGTGGTAAAAACAGTTCATTTTAACATGCTTTTCCTTTCCTCATCCCTAAATTTTATTATATTTTATTTTCCAGGTGGAATGAAAGCTCCTGGCAAGACTAATTTGGAACAGAGAACAGTCACTAATTTTGAACAAAATGTGTATCTTGTACATTTGAATTTTGTTAAAATTTGTAATCCGAAGATACTTTACGAACAACTGGATAAATACATTATCCACTTCATGCAACAGTGTTTTCCAAATAAAACTCAGGTTTGATAAAAATGTGAGAATCCAGATTTTAACAAAAACCTCTTTTAATTTGATCATACCTATTTTGACAACTAACGTTGTTGATTATCCTTTATTACCTGAGAACTTCTCAGTTTGCATGTTCTCGATGGTGAAAGTGAAGCTTTCCCATAATCCATTGACCTCCTGATCATGCATTATTGCTTTTAATATCAGAACTGACTGCCGACCGTGTCAGTTGTTGCCTGTGCCTCAAATGAGTTAGTTAGTTAGTGAATCCCATATTGCCATCTCCACCTACAGATATTACTTACTCCCTGTAAACAGACCTCATCTACTCCAGTAATGGACATTGCCTATTCTTGAAATGATCCTATCATCAACATTTCCACATTACCCTACTACTAAAGACAATTTTTGTTGTTGGAACATTTTGACAGAACAATCCATCAGATATTTATCCCCATTCAAATTATCATGTAAACTCTCTCTCTCTCTCAACCACCTACCACCTACATAGGTCAGAAATTCAATATTGCAATGTATGTATCCTGTAACCTCTTTGTTTCTAATTAAAAGGTTATTTGTTTGTTATATCTATAATCTGAATGCCTTACTTTTGTTGCACTGTTTCACAGTCTCCATCCAGAATCTGATCACTTATGCACACGGTACTTGTGTAATATACTTCCAAACACCACAAACTCATCTTTGCGGCTTCTGTGTCAAATAAGACATTGTGGTGTCAGTCTGACAAGCCATCAGAGGTGCCAAACCTCTGCTCACAAAAAGTTCCTTTGGTTGTTGCAATCTGCACAAGGCAAATATATGTCTCCAGTGAAGGTCCTACACTACAATTATTAAAATAATATACAGTTTCTGTTGCAGAAACTGTATATTATTTTAGTAATTGTAGTATAGGCACAAAAGCAAATCAAATATTAATTTTGTTTAAAATCAATTTTATAAATTCTTGAAATCAAGTAGGTGTTCAGAAGAATTTTTTCACTGAATATACAATAAGAGATGTGGTTTATAGATTCTGGAGAAACCAGGTAGTTTTTACTATAGCTTACAGTGACTGTAAATGAAAATGTTCAGTTTCTTTTTGCGCATGTATGCGGACAAGAACAATGAATGGATTGATCAGAACATAACACTTAGGTAACGAAAGTGAACAGACTCATTGCGCATGTGAGTGGACATGTGAAATAAATGGATTGAACAAAGCACGCACATGAACAATGAAAAGATTGAATGGATCATAATCTCGAATATATATTGTCTGACAGACACACAAAAGTCCTAACATAAGCACTTCACTACTATAGTGGAGCGTGCTAAAAAGGATTTAAGTCAGTTAATTCTAACTAACATTGCACCTGTTGGAAATTGTCAGCAGATAGAGTCATATTTCCAACTAGAGGTTTCTGTTTTCACAAATATATCTGATGCACAGCATCTGCACACTTTCCAGCTAAGAAAGGAAAGATTATTTGCATAGTACTTGAACAGTTTAAATTTAAAACCTTTGGTCTCAAACAAGGTCAAGAAGTTTTTGCTTTACAGAAATTTTAATGTCTTGTGTAGAGCTAATGAGCTCCTGCTGTAATCTGGATCAGTGTTATTAATCTGACCCATGTTATTCCAGACATGTCTCGGGTTGTGACCTGCTGACCCAAGATATCTCATTTCTGCTTAGGAACATTTTTTAAACATCAGATGTCACTACTTGTACGGAATTCCAAAATTAGTGATTCATATCAAAAGAATCATTATGTTATTTAGTTTTCAAGCAGCAGGATATTAAAATAATAGGTATTGATGTTCAGAAGAAATAACAAAGGAAAGTAGACCATTAGTTACTCTGTTTTTACATAGAAACGGCTGGGAAAAATAGCACTCTTAATAAGTCAGAAATGATTAAATATTTATTTAATTTAGGTTCAGATGAGTCTGAATTATCAGACAGTAATGACAAATATATACAAAATGAATATGTTAGTGATGGTAGTAGTGATATTGATCACAAAATACCAACTAAACTACAAATAGATATAGAGGCCAATCATGTGGTCATGCTTGAGGAAATAATAGTGCAAAACATCCATGTTTCAGTAGTGATGATGGTTGGATCCATACAAACTTTACAAGCCCTCAAGTCAACAGTTTCACAGGACAAGCAGGAATCCAGTGTAATTTACAAAGTGATGCTACACCATTCTACTGCTTTAGTACATTTTTTGATGATGAACTTTTGGACAAGATCACTGAAGAAACAAATAGATATGTTGATAGTTTGATGAAATGTGACAATTTACGAGAAAATAGTCATATAAACAAACTTGAAACTGACAACAAATCCAGAAATTACAGAATTCATAGGACTTATTATGGTCACAAGTGTCATTAGAAAACTGCACCTATGTATGTATTGTACTTTACAAATAAAGATGTTTTTTCCACACCATTTTTTTTAGTGTGATGTTGTTGACCAACCACTTTCTGCTTTTATTGCCTTGTTTGCATTTTACAGACAATAATTAAACCTTAGGTGGTGATGATAAACTGTGTAAATTACACACTGTTATCAATCATTTTTGCCACAGGTTTAAATATACTTACATCCCAGATGAAAATGTGTGTATAGACAAAAGTCTTATGTTATGGAAAAGCAAACTGAGATTTTGACAGCATATACCGAGCAAGCATGATAGTTTTGACATAAAAAGCTTTGAAATTTGTGAATCACAAACAGGATATGATTGGGACTTTTAGTTTACATGGGAGCTATGAGAGAATGGAAATTTTGAAGGTGAGCAAGATGAGAAAGTTCTGCTTGCCTTATTAGAACCATTGCTCAGTAAGAATCACAAGGTTTATTTAGACATGTTTTTCCTCACTGACATTAGCAAAAATGCTTCTGGATAAACAAACATATGTATGTGGAACTGTGAACAAAAATCAGATTGGAATGAAACATAATTTTCTTGATCGTAAATTGAAGGAAGGGGAATTTATAACCTGCTAGAAAGATGAATTGTCAGTGTTTTGTTGGAAAGATAAAAGGGATGTGACAATTCTAAGTATGATGAGTAACACAAATTCTCAGATTCTGGTAAATGTAACAGATCAGGAGAAATAATAATGAAGTTGAATTGTATTTTAGAATATAATCAAAATATGGGTGGAACTGATCTGTGTGATGGAGTGATACACAATTACCCATGCATGAGAAAATCAGTGAAATAGTACAAAAAAGTGTTTTTTCTAGTAATGTAACGAATATTCGGTTACTATTTGGTATTCGGCCTATTTTTTGCTATTCAGCCAAATACCAAATACTTAATCACTATTCGGCCGAATACCGAATACCTAAAAACAGGAGTAAAAAATAACAAAAACACAGTAAATTAATCATTCTGGTATTCAGATTTAATGTTATCAGGTTAGTGTTGTTTGTTTATATTTATTTATAACTTATAACATGCACA